GACCTGCTCGAGTATGCCACGGAGAGGAGGCCAAGAGTGGCGAACAGCACTGAGGCCCCAAGATTTCTGACGCCGCGCCAGCACACTGGGGAGAGCGTCGGGGAAAAGGGAGGAGCGAAGGGAACGAGAAATAGTTTTCTGGACCCGCACGCGCGCCGCCCTCTCCTCGGCAGCAGCGCGCTCCGCCTCCAGGGCGCGCCACGCCTGGGCGGCATGGCCTGCGAGCGATGTCTCACTCACGAATCCCTCGGAGGCCTCCGCCAGGCTCACCACCACTGGCCGTGTCTTCCATTGGACAGGCGTGCACCGCGCCTGGCCGATCGCCAGGAGTGAGCCGTGGCTCGCCGTCTGCTCCTGGAGCCATGAGCGCAGGCTCTGCCAGCTGGTGATCGTGACCGTCGCAGCTTTCATGAGGGGCGCGAGTCCTGTGGCCTGCGTAGACCTGATCCTCAGCGACGGCGCCCACTGCCCCAGACTGAGAAGATCTTTCCTGGCCAAGCTCTGCGGCGGCATGTGCCAGATCTTCGTGATGGCCCACGCCTCACGATCCAACAGCTCCTTGGGCACCCGCGCAACCTGCTGGAGGTAGCCCAGCACAGGGAGGATCCTCTGGTTGTAGAGCTTGGCCGACAGCGACGAGTGAGCCCCGCGCTGGGCCAGGTCGATGACGCGCGCATGCCACTTCGCGGCAGCCTTCCTCCAGATGTCCTGCCCCGACGCTCCTGGCCCGATCATGCATCCGAGATACTCGGCGTAGCCCCAAACCGACATGGCCGCCCAGCTCTGAGCTCCTGCTTGGGCTCCTCCGTCACGGGGCCACCCAAAGGAATGAGCACGCACTTGGCCCGTTTCAAGCGCAACCCTGCCAATGCTCGGGCCGCCTCGAATGCCCTCCACGTGCCGAGAAGAAGCCGCCTCGATCGTAACGCAGCGCCTACGTCATCCGCACACACGCCCAGGGCCGAGCACGAGCTCCTGTCCGTGTATCGCTGCATGTGGTGAATAAAGGGATTCATGATGACGGCCCACAGCGAGCCTGACGATGGGCAGCCCTGGGCCAGCCCGCAAGTGATGCACGCGAAGTGCACCATCATGCCCGCCATCTGGACGTACGCCGTGGGCAGCCAGCGCAGCGACGTGAGAGTGAGGAGCAGGCCCCCCTCGAAGCCCGAGAGGACCAGCATCGCGAAGAGCCACTCCACCATCGTCGACGGGAACGCGTCACCGAAGTCGCACAGCGCCATCAGGGGCTTGAGGGGGGCCACATCATCCAGGTAGCCCGCGACGCGGGCAGTCGTGTCCAAGAGCGCGATGTTGTCCAGGAAGTTCCGCCCCCGCAGAAATCCACGCTGTGGAGTAGGCGGTGCGCGTTCCACCGCGCCTCTGATGCTGAAATTGGCCGCCGCAGCGACCAGCTTGCAATCTGAACTCTTGAGAGCGATTGCCCGAGTTGACCCGGGAGACCGATGAAGTCCGTCAGCAAGGTCGCCCCTTCGGGAGGAAGGCCAGCAAGTGATCGTTCCAGTCGGTTGGCGGCGGTAGGCCCGCTGCAATGTCAAGCACCGCATCCTCGATGGACGCCGCTGCCGCGGGGCGCGACCGCCATGCCAAGTGTGGCAGTCCGTCTGACCCTGGTGCAGACTCCTTAGCCCTCGCCGCCGCTCGCAGCAGCGAGCGCTTGTCAGGCGGCAAGATGTCCGCCACTGCCAGCTTCGGGGCGTGATCCTTCATGTAGCGCTCAGCCGGGCTCTCCCGCCCGTCGACCTGCGTCTTGGCCTGGAAGATGGGGGCCCAATGGTCGCGGAGCGCCCCCATCATGTCCTCCTGGCCGTGGAGAACCTGGACACCGCCACCCTGCGCAGGCACATTGATACCCTGCAGCTTGAGCGAGCGGCCGAAGGCGCCCACAAGGCCGCCCGACGATTGAGCTTCCTGCGGACGGCATTGACTGCCTTGAACGAGGTGCTGTCGAAGGCCTTCTTCTCTCTCTCATCGAGCGCAGCCGACCGCGCCTCGAAGTGCACCTGCTGCCCCTGAGCGAAGTCCCTGGCGAAGGACGGGGGGTGAATAATATTAACCTCCGTCTCCGTCACGTTGAGGTAAGTGCTAGCGGGCTCACAGGATTGAAGTAGTCGACGTCCGAGTCCCACGTCATCGCGACAGACCGCCCTTGACATCGAACGGAATGCCATCAGCTTGGTCTCGCCAAGTGGGCGCTGCAGCCGCAAGTTGCGCACGTACTTGACGGCCTCGCACATCAGCTCCTTGTGTCTCTTGCGCCTACTCCGTGCCGACAGGCTCGACCAGTCCACCAAGGGTCGGAGGCGATCGTGCTGACGTTTGAACTCGGGGTCCTTGAAGAAATGCAAAGGTATTCTCTGCTCCGTCGCCTCTGCCTCACTACGCGCCTCGATACTCGTGATGACAGGCGCATGGTCACTAAGTCCTCTCTCATGCAGTAGCTCGGGGTACTCGGGAGTGAGAGCGCAAATGATGTTGGAGCACCTGCCAACTAGGCAACGAAACGAAGACCCGATCGATCTGCGTGAGCTTGGGCTGCCACTCGTTGACCGCATAGTGCGTCGGCAGCTCATTGTCGATCTCCACCATTCGGTTGAAGAGCTCCTTCCAATGCGCTTCATGCGGCCTGTGGGCCGTGTCGCCAGAGCTCCGCCGACGGTCGATCTCAGGAGCCCATGGGCACATCGGCAGCTGCTTGTAACTTGTTGAAGTCGCCGAGCAAGAACGCTGTGGCCCGCCCGGGAGCCAGGTCGGCCATGGTGAGGTCCGCCGATAACGTCGCTCGCAGCACCTCCATCTCACCGTCCGTCAGATTGAAGTTGTGCACATTGTATATGACCGCGCTGCATGCATGAGTCGCAGCCTGGGCAGGGATACCAAAAATGCGTAGACGCTGCACCCGACCACGCGCGAGAGTCTCGTGCACGAACCGAGCCCTGCGCTCGACCCCAGGATCACAGGGGGTGATGAGAGCCACTCCCCCAGCGTCCGTCTGAGGAAGAAAGGAACAGAGGGCACGGTGCGGAATGTGAAGCCGATGGAGCGCCTGACGTAGCTCCGCCTTGGTCCCATGGACCTCCTGAAGCGCCATGACAGTGCCACGGCGTAGGTGCTGTGCCAGATATTGAAGCTTGTGTTCGCGAACCCCACCAGCCCGTCGGTCGTGATGGTGAAGGGCGCGCGCATTCCACGTGCCCATCGCAAGCGGTGTAGATGACGCAGACGGTGGTCTCCAGCACGCAAATCGATCGTTAAATAGACCACTGCACTCGCTCAGCCTCGCCGAATAAGCCCTCGAAGGCGCCCTTGACAGAAGACTTGTCCAGGCCAAGATCAGCGACCATACGATAGTTCCATTGAAGACAAGTCGCCTCGCTCGCTTCGTCGGGAATGATGACCCTGACCACAGGGGGGGATCCTTGATCAATGACTCCTTGCGCTCTGTTCGCTCGCCAACGACCAGGTAGGCCCTCGCGCTCGATGATCTCGAGGAGCTTCTTCGTCTGAATCTCGCGGCGGACCATCTGCGCATTCTTGCCCAAGCTGGTGAACAAAGAAGTCCGAGCGCCAGCAGGAGTCGTGGCTTCGAAGCGCCTCCAGGCACCGTTGTCCAGCCTGAGCTTCTTGAAGGCCTGCTGGGCGTGGCGCGCGGCGAGGCCCTCAGCACCCTTGAATTGCACAACGTAGCGCCGTCCTGGGCCATCACCTCGAATCTCCCATTGGTCCTCTGAGAAGCCGCCCGCCGCCATCCACTCATGGACGCTGGCACGGACCTCCTCCTTCGCGACGGGCTCCTGTGTGGTGGCCGTGAAAATGGTATGGTTTGGCTCCCTGGTGAAGCTGGCATTCTCGGCGACGTCGTATCCAGCAGGCACCGCCTGCTCACATTGATGAACAATCTGCTGGAACCGCTTCACCTCTTCCTGCATCGCCTTGTGTGAGCGCTGCAAGATATCCTGCCGAGAGTCGAGGTCGCGCACTCTGAGGTCCATTTCCTCATTGAAAGCTTCCTGTCGAACAGCGAGGGCACGAACAACTTTGGCCGTCCCCTCATGAATGTTGCGCTCCATCTTGGCTGTAGTTTCGGCAACCGACGCGTGCACCGACTGGGTGATGTCAGCGCGGAGCGTGTTGAGGATGTCATCCAGGTCGCAGCGGCGCACGACACGCTCGTCAAGGACGGCTGGCGTACCAGGAGCAGGCCCAGGAGAGCCGGGAACGTGAATAGGAGCGCCAGCCTCCACCGCCGCGGCCGCCCCGCCACCCCCAGACGAGCCTGCCGCAGGGTTACTCGCCCGGCGCCACGGGTCAGCCTCGATGAGCGAGTCGACACGGCTGGCTTTGCTACTCGGCTCCTCAGACTGGTCGCCGTTGACGTAGTGCCTGGGCCTCGACGCGGAAGCAGCACTGGCCGAGCCTCGCCCGCCACTCTTCCCGAGGACCTCTTTAGCGCCACCCACGCGCCCACCACTGGCACCACTATGATGAGAAGAGTCCACAGGGCCATCAGGTATCGAAGAGGACGTGCGGAGCGATGGCAAAGGAGTGAGGGATGAAACCTCAGTTGCCCCCGCAGGGGATGTAAGAAGTAGATATGCTGTAAACCGAGACGCCAGAGAACTGGGCTGGAGAGTGGCCTCAAAGCGGAACCTCCCTCCCGAAAGACTCGCGATCGTCGGGACGGTTCATGGCCTTGAGCCAAAATGGCTACGGATGCATATATGTATGTATATATATGTGTATATATATGTGTGTGTATATATATATATATATATATATATATATATATATATCATATGGAAGCGTCGCTCTCGCCAAAGCGCCGCACGTGCGTTTAGCTGAAAAGTGCGTTCCTATTTAGACGCGTCGGATGTGTGCTTTGGTCACCGATCCTACTCGGAATTTGGCCCCGCGCTGGCGATCGGAATATCGAAGTCGTCTGAACTCCAATGTTCACCCTCAAGATCGGCGTCTTGTTTGCAAGGTCGCTTCCCTCGTCGAGTCGCCTGGCAAATGCTATCCTGGAATCCTCAATCATGCGTTGCGCTGCTCACTTAGCAGCCGTTGAAGCCTTGTATGCGCCAAATCCAAAGCAGTGAGTTCTGCTCGTGCAGCGGACTGTGTCTGCGCCAAAAACATACCTGTGTAAAGAAAACTCATTCGCTTGGGGTGCGGCTCATTTCTTCCTCTGGCAACTCGTCGAAAGCAGAGCCAACCCCCGCACGAGCGCCTTCAATCCGCCAGGTGAGAGCGTGCCATGTACCTGCGTCGATGTGCGCCAACACTGATTCTCAAACTGCGGGAGGGCTGGTGGGAGCTGGCAGGCAAGCCTGAGCCGGATCGAATCGCGAAATCGGATCGGACACGGATCGGATCGCCAGCGAATCGCCCTGAAACGAATCGAAATCGGATCGTCACGCCCAACTCTGGCTGGCACTGGCCGACGCTGGTGATTCGAGCCAAATCGAATCGCATCGAAATCGCGGCTCTGCGGCAGGGCCCGCCATTTCGTTCGAGATGGCTGGCTTGACTACTACTCCTACTCTTCTACTCATCCCTGTTCTGGTCCTCGTCCTCCTCCGCCTCCGCCCTTCACTCATAATCGCCAACTCCTCCTCTCATACCCTCAACCTTCCTTCTCTACTTCTACCCTCTTTCACGGGGCTCTTGGTGCTGCTGCTGCTTCTCCTCCTCCTCCTCATCTACTCCTCCATTCTCCGCGTTCCCCTTCTCCCGCTCCACCCCCCTCCCTCCCCTCATCCCTCCCTTTCCCACCACAACCCCTCCCGCCTCCTGCGCCCCACCCCGTTCCGTCCCCCCACCCTCGCCCACCCCCGACAGCCCTCACACTGTCGTAAGGGAGCTATCTGTCTCGCGGCGAGGCCAGAGGGTGCTCCGCTCGCGCCGCCGGCTAAAAATGGGGCGCGCCGTGCGCGCGCTCCCACGGGTCGCGTCTCTCCTGTAGCTGTTGCTGCTTCGTCGTCCTCCGAATGCTGCTGCACCTCCCTCCCGCCTTCCATCCCTCCAAACCGCACCCTCACCCTCCACCCTCTGCCTCTTGCTTGTCCTGCTCCCCCTGCTCCTGGGCGCTGAACGGTGGTTGCTTCAGTGTGCAATGGCTTGGTAGGGGGGGCGAGCGCAAGGTACCAAACCGACGGCGTACCAGGCCGGCGCTGGTTTTGTAAGGGGTGGGCGGCGGGAGTGCATCAAACCGCCACTGTATCAAAGCGGCGGCCTCGTGGGAGGGCGGGGGGGGACGGAGAAGCTCCCAAATACCAAGCCGGCGGGGTACAACGCCGTAGCTGGTTTGGTAGGGGGCGGGAGCCAAGAGGGTACCAAACACGCCGCTTCGTGGGAGGGCAGACGGGGAGGGCTGACATGCAACAACAACACGTATGGTGAAATTATACATGTTTACTGACTTGAACAAGCTGTAGTTGACTTAAACATGCGTTCAATTAAATTGCTAAGTACTGACCACATAGCCATACCTCAGCACACGTCCAGCATAACTTCAACAATTCCAACCAGCTAAACAAGCTTTAACCGAACCGCTCTCACAATCGACGCGCTCGCGCTGGTTTACGTAAGTATAAAATCGCCCCGCATAGTTGATACTGGCACATGCAAGACCTCGCGCTGGGAGTAAGATCCGAAATTCCCCACTCGACGTTTACACTGAAGGAATTGGAACCGACATTAAAATGATTGGCGAAAGTAACCGTCCGATTTCTTTGGGCGGCTGTCGGTGGGCGCCCCCTCTCTCTCTCCCTTTTGGTTTCTCTATTATTTGGGGTGTCTTCATCTTTTTGGCTGATGCTGACATTTTTCTGGGCCGTAGCGGGGACGTGTTGTGGAATTCTAGAGTCGTCGAAGGGGCCCTCTCAGGCCGCGGAGGGTACCTCCGGAGGCCCTCATTGGCCATCTTGGACCCCTGGTGCGCCGTCCTGTGGCAATATTGGAAACCTCCTAAGCCATTTTGAACCGACGGATGCCCGAAATGACGAGGATGCCACAACACTTCCAGCACGCAAGGACAATCAAGGAGTTAGCCCGTTAGGGCGTTCTTGCGAAACTGTGGCAGGGCATGGCGCTTGCAAAACTTTCGGGCCATCCACTGATTGATTTTCTCGGGTGTAATATTTTCCCGTCGCAGGCGCACATCAATACGGTTCAAAATACTTGCGCTACGAAGTGGTAGCGAGGATTGCAATGTATTGGGGCGCTTTCGCTTACCCGATATAACGTTGATCGAAGTGAATGTACGTGACTGATTGCAGCGCGCGCTTGCTGCTTACTTCAGCAACAAGCAGAATGAGGACCACGTGGTGATAGGTTGGAAGGTAGATGAATGATGGCGCACCATCCAGAAGACTGATCAAATCGTGTTTTTGGTGCGATAATAGATCGCCGACTCCACGGTCAATCTAAGTAAATGGGGCGCTGGCGTTTGGCGCCGGGCGCCGACGGCGCGCCGGCTACGCTCGCCGCGCACGCGCCCCTCTGAACTCCACATATCAGAATCGATGGGGGGAGGGGCCGAGCAGAGCGAGCCGCGAGATCACGCGGCATTTGTCTAAAAGAATGCACGTGGAGAATTGCCGCGGGGCTCGGGATCGCCCGAGCGGCGCCCAGTCAGCCAGCGCCAGGCTGGGTCGGCAAAGATGCGGGAGGGCCCGACCTGGCCCAGAGCCAAGGTCGAGCCTGCACACTTAAGGACGCAGACTGCACGGGCTGGCCTGGCCGACTGCCAGCGGCAGCCATGCGGGGCCCCAAGATAGTTGGACACGCGCGCAACGTACAAATAATAAGAGGTTACATGATAATATGACAGGCAGGATGCTAAAAAGAAATGCAGGCTTGCCTCGACGCGTGTTTCCACGCCGCATGGAAGCATCCCGCTGGCTCGTCACGGGCCGGTTTCAACCTTCGAAGTCGGAACCCATGTAAGAAGTGCAAGACATAAAACTCACGCTTAAAGGACTGCGTTCCCGCCGCAACTTGCAATGACAAGTCCCGCTCTACACTGCCAGTGGTGTGCCCATGGAAATCAGATCTCGCGTGTCTCACCATTGCATGCTGCGTACGATGCGTCTGTCCATCATCTGTCTTATTCAGCTGATGTGTCCTAGCAGCACGCACTCCGTATGCTTCTTCTTCAGGTCCTTGCTGAGCAAGGAAGGCCCCTGCGGGGCAAGGACTTTGAAAACCGACTCAGCATCAATGGCGAGGGCAACCTTGACGCAGAGACATCCGACTTCAAGTATACGTTTGAGTTGTGCGGGTGTAAGCGGTCCCGCCTTTTAGAGGAAAAAGAACTATGCACATACACCGATTCTGGCCAGGCCTATCCTGAGCCCAGGATCGGTGCATGCGCCCTCCTACCTTGGCCAGGAAGGCATATGCACCGATAGTGGGTCAAGCGCGGGCCTTGCCAGGATCGGTGCATGTGCATAGTTCTCTTCGCCCGACCTTTCGCGCATGTAGAGTATCAATGGTTGGGCAGCAGTCCTGTAAGTTATGGGCAGCTGCACGCGTCTCCGCAGGGTGGCTTGATCTTAGCTGCAATCGATGCGACTTGCTGTCGGCATCTATCATGCGTGCGGCAGATTTGCCATTGCGCGTGAGGTCCACGCCGGAATAGGTCGGCACCTCCATTGCCATCGCCTTACATCTCGTCCCTAGCGTCCCCGGTCAATCGTCGATAACCAGAGTCGCTGTGTAGATCGACTCCCCCAGCGGGCTTCGTGGCCGGGTGGGCTACCTTCTGAGGTTGGCTCTGCAACTCCCGCGCAATTTGCACTCGGCCGCCGCATCTGAATGTCAGCTGGTTCCCGCGCCCGTCGCAAAGAGACAGCGCGCATCATCGGCCAGACCTGCGCCATGAGAACGCATGCTAACGCTCCACGGGGGCTAACGAACATGTCTGCGACAGGCTTCGCCGCTTTCTGCTCGGCCTCCGCGCCCGCGAGGTCGGGGCGCTGGATCGGGCGAAGTTGTTTGGTGTAGTCGTCCTGATCTAACGTGACGTCTCCACGTTCGTTCTTCGTGTATATGACGGCGCTAATGGTGTAAGTATGTCTGTTGAGTTCACATGCGCCGAACGTACTTTCAACGCGTTTCACGCGGCGATCGACAGTCCCACCAGCCCTCTGGGCGTCGGCGGTTTAGAAAGTTTCCTCTTCCCCCCCCCCTCTTCCCTTTTGCGGAGGGGTTTATCCCGCCCCCTGCCCCATCCCCTGGGCCTGGACAGGGGGTTCGCGAAGCATCGGAACGCCCGAAACGACCTCGGCGAGGAAACGCAAATCATTGGTCTCAATGTGGCGTTGGCCCCATGTTGGCCTCTTTCTTTCTTTCTTTTTGTTTCAGGGGGGGGGGGCAATTGAAGCCCTTCTCTTGTTGGATCGATCTCCTCCAAGATGGCCCCAGGAAGCGCCCGGGAGGCCCCGGGGGGCCCCAAGATGCCCCCAGGAGGCCTCCAAGAGGTTCCCAGGAAGCCCCCAGAAGGACCCAAAGCAGCCCCAAGAGCCCCCCACCCCCCACCCCACCCACGAGGCACCCAAGACGCCGAAGAGCCCCCCACGACGGCCAACGCACACCCAAGACGCCCCAGGACGCCCAAGGCCCAAGAGATACCCCAGGAGGCTCCGAGAAGCACCCAAGAGACCTCTGACGCTTTTGCATGCTCCCCTCCTCCTCATTCCACCTGCTATACCTCCTATCCCCTCTCGTCCTCCTCCCCCCCCCCGCCTCTCCTCCTTATCCGATTAATCCTTCTCCCTGCTCCCTCATCCATCCATCCAATTTTCTCATTCGCCCCCCCCTCTCCCCTTCGCGCGGTTCGGCCGCCCCCCCTCTTTGCCCCCGCGATCCCCTGATGGAACCGCGCGCAACGTTGCGAAGCATCAAGGGGAAGACTCGCGAAGCGCCCTTCGCCCCTGCGCCTGGCTGCAAGCGCCGCAAGCAGTGTCGACTTTCGTCGCATCTCGGATCCAAGGGGGGTGTCTTAACGCAGCTGCTGATCCGGGTGGTATTGTAGAGCATGCGATGCGCTCCCGTTCTCAAGTGCCTGCGGCAAGCTCGCGGTAGGTGGGGCCCTTCAGGGATGCCTTGTATGTCCACAGGCGTAATTACCCAGTCAGGGTTGCCTTCGCTGGCCAACAGGCGCCAGCTTGACCTCCTGGCCGTGCCCGGGGAATATTCTGCACCAGAGGCTCATGCGTCCATAAACCCGGGCAAGACATGCCCTGGCCGGATTGCCATTGCCATGGCCATGTCTCCGCCACGCGGTGCAGGGCCGTTCGCCTTCTCTTCGACATTCGAAAGGTCCTCATCGAAGTCGGCCTGAGGTTTGGATGATTTCGGACACTGTATTACCCTTGCATGTGTAGACCCAGGATTGCGTGCACGTCGAGCGCTGTGCCGTTCGACACGTAGTGGTGAAACCCTGATGTGACGTCGATGTCATAGTAGACCAGGGTGCAACTACCAGCGCGCGGGACAGCTGGTAGTCGATGGGCGCCTTTGGCAAGTCGGGCTGCGACCACGCTCTCGATCCTAAAATAGTTTCGGACCAGGCGCTGCAATGCTAGATGCGCCTTGGGCGATAGATTGCTGGATGTGGTCATGCGCAAGTCTCCCTGCCTAGTTGGTGGGTATCCGAAGGTCATCGCAAGTCCCCCTGCGGGTAAACCTGCGATTGAGGCAAGCACAGTTCGAAGCGTTGTGTTTTCTGACCGAGTTCTCTGACCAGCAGCACTTCAATATACAGTGCGTGTGCCTTGAATCAGGGCATTGAACAACTACTGCGCGGTTTCCGACTCGCGCGATGGTTTGGCACCTCCCAGAGTCGTTGCGTGCAACTGGACATGGACCCTTCCAGCCTCCCCAATCGTCCTTCGTTGTGGTGGGTCGGCGGTGAGCTATTAGATAGCCGTCGCGAACGAATATCTGG